AACATGGCATGGGAGCAGGTCTCCAAGCCTACTGCACGGAAATAGCTGGCACCAGTCCCCGGGGGACCAGGGAGTCCTCAGGAGCTGCAGCCTAAGTCTTAGTGGCACTCTCACTTCTGTCCAACTTTACCCAACCTCAACTCAACCTTCTGTGCATTGTCTACCAATTCACTGCCCCATAACAATTAGAAATGGGAACCACTACTTCTGTCACCTCTTGTGATTTTCCACCAGATGTTCCAGTCACCACCACTTCAACTGTCCTCAAATCCAGGGTCTCCTAGGAAAAACCTGCTTTGGGGAGCAGTTAGAAGAAGGCATAGCAAGGGGCCTCAATATCCCAAGGCACTCTCTAGGGAAAAGCCACACCAACACTTTTAGGAAGTAGTATCACTTCCTTGCGGCCTCTACGCATACTGCCACTTAATAACATAGATACATACTCTCAAATGTAGGCAGAGTGATTCCAATTCTTTCTCTGCATATGCCTTGTAAACCATAAGAACAGCCAAGATTTTCCCACCTCTGTGCAAAGTACATGAGAAATTCACCCACCAGGAGTCTTTCCTCAAACTCCAACATAAAACCATAAACCAGTACCTAATAAACACAAGCTCTGCTCACCTTAGCAACAACAGCAGCAGCAGGCTACTAGGAAAAATGTGTGTTGTCATCTTAGACAATGAAGGCAAATGTGGAATCCCTGCATTTCACAAAAGGAAATGTAAAGGAACTGGTAAAAGTACTTTACCTCAGGCATCTAAGTTTCTAAATTTACCACAACCAGCTGCTACAGGCTTCCACTATTTGCCTGAAGAGCTTTGGCTGTGTCAGGAGGAAAAGACATAGGCTGCTTTAGTTTAGACTGAGGAACTAAAGAATCCACCCTTTATTTATAGTTTGTACAAAACTTAAGAGGAAAAAAAGACCAATTAGAACAGGAAATTTTAAAGTTAAAAACCCTCGTTCCATAAGATCACAAAATTCCTAATAATGAACAGGAACCCAAAAGTCACAGTCAAAAGAGTGACAACAGATTCTTATTAGACATCTGCAACAACTGCTTGACATCAAACTCATTTCCCAAACTTTCAAGTAATATAAAGGACGTATATTTAGAATACAAAAAGATTAGAAGCTGGGAAAAGGAAATGCCACAAGTTCCTGCTATTCCCTACAAGAGGGCAGGCACACATTTCTCCCATGAGAATCAAAGTACCTACTTAAAGCATATATATTTTATCTGCTCATTAGTCTGCCATCTGTCCTCAAATAATTAAAACATTCTATATACAAAAAAAGGGGCATCTTTGAACTCATAGGCTTATGCAAATGCTACTCCACTGAACTAAAAGATGAAAATACTAACTAAATCTCTCAGACATCATTATAATTTACTGGAAAAGGTGTGTTTTTAAGGTTTCACACTTGAACTTCATGGAAGAGCAGTCAAGTGTAACTGACTTAAAGCAATAATTTGACTAAAGCAATAATTCGAAAGAGAGTGTTAACGGTATAACAGATTTGGTAATGTCTAAGGCCAGAGCCAAGCTGGAAAACTGAGATCAAAGACTCCCAGATCTAAATATTTTGACCAAAAGCGGGTGAGATTATTTCTTAAGCTGTCCAATTATCCATGTACTCAATAACTATTCACACCCATTCAGCAACAGAGGCAGTGCCTGGTGCTGTGGATGCGATGGGAACCGAGCAGGTTGCTTCTGCCCTCCTGAGAACTCCACCACCCAGCCCTTGCCCCCGTTTCTGTAAGCATTTCTTGCCATATGCAACACACAGTGTACCACTCCCAGTCCCCTCTCTTGCCTGCCTGCCGCTCTTCCCTTCCATACCATCATCAACCCCAGTCACACGAGAGTTGAGGGAGTCCTCTATCTCTCAGGTATGCAAGGCTCAGACCCACTACAGGGCCTTTGCACTTGCCCTTCCCTCTGCTGAACCACTCTTCCTTCAGATCTCCAACTCTAGGTTCAGACCTCTCCCCCCCAGAGGAGCTTCTCAGGCCACTCGGTCTAAAACAGCAGTCCCTGCCCTGTCCCTCTCTACCCTCTACCATGCAACACTGTTGTGTTATTTTTGCAGTACTTATCACTGCCTGGTATTATCTCCTTTATTGTGTCTTTGCTTTTCATCCATCTCCCCCATTTACATGTAAAATTCATTGTAGCAGTCTTTCTGTCCTGTGCACTGCAATATTTTAGTCCCTAGAAACAGATGCTTAATAAATACCTATTTAAAAGAACAAACACTGGCAATGTCGACAGTTTTGTATCACAATGACAGTACCACATATCAAAGGAAAAAGGAAGAGAACATCTCAAATGCTAAAACACTTGTTTAAAAATTTCTTTAAAAGATTTTTTAAAAGCTCATCATAGCTTATACTCATCTTAAAAACAACTCTCAAAAATAATCATAATGGATATCTAAAGCTCAGCATTGGCTAATGGTCACACTTTACAATGTATTAGGCTAGCATTAGCATTACTTCTACAATGTATTCTTTTTTAAAAGCATACTGAGAAGAGACCCCAAATTTTCATATTAAAAAAAAAAGCAAGAGCCACATGTTTTTAAAAAGCATCTTTCCCCATAAGAGTAGTTAAAAACCCTCTCACAAACTGTAAAATTTGAAACCATACTATACCAACATTAAAATGAGATACTGGTGATATACAGAAGTTGGGGATTTTAGTGCCTAATGGCAAACATATTTTATGAAACATAAACCACCCTCATCTTCAATTTAATCAAAAGTTCAAGACTTCTCTCCATGTTCAAAATATTTAAGCTCTTAAAATTTTTCCTACAGATAATTTTAAAATTTTGTATCTGATCCTTTCATTCTTTTGTTGAAACAAAAAGCTAAGTTGTTGCTCAAGAAATATGACTTTAGTCACTGACCATCATGGCAAAGATGCCATAGATCCTTATGGATCACTGTGAAGTTATATAAAAGCAAACAGTGCATACTGCGGAGAAGGCTCATGTATTTCCTGGATCGTGATGTAAGGAAGCAAATTACTACTGCCATTGGGCCTTTGGGAATAACTGAAATCCACTTAAAAACCTCAAAAACTGATGCTTTACAACAATTTCATAGCAAAATATTAGAAACAACCTACATATATCTCAATAAAGAGGTTAAATAAATTATGGTTCATCCCTAATGGAGTACTCAGCAGCTGTTAGAGGATGAGGCAACTCTCTTAGGTACAATGGAGACTGCCATGATTTAGTACTCTGTGGAGGATCTGTGGAAAGACAATTAAGAAGAGCACATACAAGATGTTTCTATGTGCACAGACTATATCTGGAAAGACAAAGACATGAAGCAAGTAAACCTGGTTTCTGGGGAGGAGAACCAGGTGCTGTGGGACATGGTGGGAGGGAGGTATACTTTCTACTCTATACCTTGGCATATCTATTGAATCTCCTCGTGCCTGTCCCACAAATTAATACAATATATTTAATACAAAAATAATTTATACTATTACCAACGTACTCATCAAAGGCAACTATTTACAAGCAAAAGTTTTCAAAAATCACAAAAGTTTTGCTCAACAGCAGAGTCCCTGATTCTCATTTCTCAGAAGAGAATCCAAGTCTCCGCTAATTAGAGAGGCATGCTTGTGATCTCACCTATTACAAAGAAAGAAGCCTCAATTCAATTCTTAGAGGGGAAACTGCTGCTCAGTTCACCTTGAAAACATATTTCATATTGAAATTGAGCTTGTAGCTCCCTAATGAAGGCTCCAAATGAACAATTTCCCCCTGGTTATAAAACAGAAAGTCAACTTAAGAGGACAGTCTCAAACTTTTAAAAACACAGACTATACTTAGGTTTCCTTTCCTCTGCCAGGGTTAGACAAGAAACCCTCTGAAAATAGTGAAATGATTTATGGTAAAATAATCACATAAGGGGAGATAATACCAAGTCACGTTTGCACTGAAAAAATGCTTCGATTTTTCACTTGTGGGGGAGGGAGGTTTGCTTTTTATTTAATGTCTGACCATTTTTTTGGACCTTTGACTAAATGATACTAAGTCACATTAATTTTACTCCAAGCAAAAAAATTTTTTAATTAAAAACACATCTGAAACTGAACACAAACAAATCGGAAGGCAAACTTTAAACTGAAACTTTTCTGTTGAAAATGTATCTTAAAAGAACACATAAGAAGAAAAGCAAGGAACTCATTTCCATATAAACGCCATTCAATAGGAGTACAGGCTGTATCAATATTCGACTGCATTAAACACACACATACCAAAAGCAACTCGAAGATACCCAACCCAAACAGAAGCCTTCATATATATTTTAGTAACGGAATGTGGGGAGCCAAATCACATGATTCAAACCCATACTTAAATCCTGAACAATTGAAGGGCAGTTTTGTGTTGGTCAGGACTATGAACCCAGCTTTGTGTTTTTGCCCAACATATCAGAAGTGGCATCTTTCACAAAGCCTAACTTTGATGGCCAACACTTGAATTTTGGGTTTAATCAGCACAGCACCTTCGGGAGTACGTATAAAAAAATAACAGGTAAGTCAAATGCACCATAAATACAGAAAGAACTAGTTTAAAGAGGAGCTGGAGTTCAGGGACACGGAATCACTTGGCAGGTCACATCTCTAAAGAAAAGAAATGTTAAAGCTCCTTCCCATCCCCCAGGTAACCTCTGGCCTCAGGACTCACTGCCCTACACGGGGCAGAAGTTCGCGGCGAGGGGGTCGTTGCCCACCAGGACCCCAGGGGGACCCAAGGACGCGCAGAGAGAGAGCGGCGCGACCCGGAGCAGCACCCCCGGAGCCAGTCATCTCTGACGCTTCCCAGACCCGGGGCTAGGGCCGGCCGGAGCGTTGCCCCTCACCCTACCGGGGCCGCCTGGCGCTCGCGGCTACGCGCCCACGGGAGCCCGCTCCAGGCTTCGCGGCTCCGGCTCCCCGCGCCGCGCCCGCCCGCCCCCAGGCACTCACCGGCCGCTCCCGCGCCGCTATCTCGCCATCCCCGGCCGCCGCCCCGGGGCTGCCCAGAGTCCGCAGCCGCCCGGGGGCTGGAGCCGCCAAGGAGGGGGGCCGGGCACAACCCGCCGCCGCCTCCACCGCCGCGGTCTCGCCTCCCCAGTCCCGGCGCCGGGCTTCTTGAGGCGGCCACGGGCGAGGGCCAGCCCGCCGCCCTCCGC